ACTGGCAGAATAGCTAACATTGGCATGATTACAAAAAGACAACCATGTGATAGGTTGGCCTCTGGCAGGGGCAAAACACAGTTAACTGCCATGGTTATGGAATTTTATCTACATTTTGTAAACATAAACCTGTGTAGTGTTAACTGTGCCAGTAGTGTGACTAGGGCCTTGGGGTCTGATGTGCAAGGTATCTTGGGACCTGACCTAAAAATTCTCATGATGTATTCAACAACTGACTTAAATTGTTCTGCCAGATCCACCTCTCTACTCCTCCACTTTGTGCTGTTCTCTCTCATGTAGTACAAAAGTGTCATATTGCAAGGCCAAAATCTATTTGTTCCTGGTTCCCTGGAAATATATGCTGACCACTGAGGCACTCTAAGACATGGCAGAGTTTGTCATTTTCCGGATAAATGTGCTGCATGTGGAAGGAAACATTCTACTCTGTGCCTCAGAGTTGACAATCTGGTGGGATGGTCTCATGCATTATCTGTCTATCATGCAATATTTTTTCCCACCTCAGCAGCTGGGGCCATACTACCCATAGTTATTAAAATTCTATGAGTTCCCTAAAAGGGTCCAACTGTGGGCACTGGTGTCTAACAACTTTTATGAAATTGTCTGTAGGGGTAACTTATTGAGCTACCACTTCAAAAACCAGTTGTCAGCATTGCCCAGTGTAACTGGTGGTGTACATTGACTTGCCCAAAAAAGAACTTGTAATGCAGATCCCTAGCTGAGATTGTAGGGCTTGCAGTTTAGAAAAAAATAACTTTTTCTTGTAAAGTGAGCACATTTGGTATGAAAATCAATGAGATGAAAGAAACATAGACCTAAGGCCTGGTCTACACTGCTGCTTAAGTAGATGTAAGTTACGTCACTCGGGTGTGAAACAATCACCCCCCTGAGCGACATAGCTTACATCGACGTAATGCGGTGTCTACACCACACTATGTCGTCAGGAGATGCTTTCCCACCGACTTACCTTCCACCTCTCGGTGAGGTGGAGTACTGAAGTCGACAGGAGAGCGCTCTCCCATCAACTCATCGCGTCTTCACCAGACCCACTAAATCGATGCCACTGTATCAATCGCATCGGCACCAATTTAGCGTGCAATATAGGCAAGCCCTAAGTGTGCCATTTTTTCAGATTCTCTATTCAGAGTGGAGCCATACTTTATAAAATATGTACCCTAGTGTGGGCACCAGGCAGAGAAAGTCATCATTTTGGCTCAAGGGTAGTTAGTTTACAGGACACAGGAATAGTTTTCTGGGTTGGGTTAGCAGATAGGGGGCAAAATATGCTCTCTTTCTCCTTCCACCCATGTTAAGGGCTTCAGTCTGTAGCCAGCAAGAGGAGGCCCCTTGAAGGGGACTAATGATATGACTAGTGCTGTCAGCACAAGCCACAATTGGGCATTCAGCCAATATGCCTTTCCATAGGTGACTCCCAACAAATGTACATTTCAGGCCCCTACAGCTTATTTGAAAACCTTCCAGGAACAGTTTCTTCTGTTGAAATGTCCTCAAATGGCTTGAGTCTTTCCTTTTAGATAAAACCCTGAAGGTTGTGATGGAAAACTCTCCCTCTGCCCCTAGAATGCCCCCACAGGGCCATGTCCCCCATCTTAGACAACTTCTGGATGAAGCCACTGGGTAAGCTGGTGAGACAGGCTGAAAGGTCACCATTATGGAAATGATGCCCTTCGCTAGGTCTCCCAGCTTTCCCAGTGTCTTGTGAAATGAGAACATAAGTGAAAAGCAGCTGTTTCAACTGAACCCAGGTAAGAGAGAAGGGTGCTGATAGGAAAAAGAAGCACTTTGAATAATTTACCAACTCCACAATATCTCTGAGTGTTCACAGCTTTGGATGCCCAAATAGCCACACCCACTCTCATCTGTGGCTTTCCATAAGACTACCCCCTGATCCAATCAGACCAAATCTGGCCATGGTAAATCATGCATTGTGACCTCCAGGCTGGACTTGTTGCAGCTCTGTTATATCTAGGGATGAAGCTTCACTTGGTGCAAAATCCAGTAGCCCATTTGTGCAGCAACATGGGTCTTGGTGCCACACAAAGAATCCTTATTGAGGTTGCAGGAACAAACCATCCCAATGTGTAGAAAGAATAGTAAATATGGCAGGCGACCAGCTTGGCTTAACAATGAAATCCTTGCTGATCTTAAACACAAAAAAGAAGCTTACAAGAAGTGGAAGATTTGACAAATGACCCGGGAGGAGTATAAAAATATTGCTCAGGCATGCAGGAGTGAAATCAGGAAGGCCAAATCACGCTTGGAGTAGCAGCTAGCAAGAGATGTTAAGAGTAACAAGAAGGGTTTCTTCAGGTATGTTAGCAACAAGAAGAAAGTAAAGGAAAGTGTGGGCCCCTTACTGAATGAGGTAGGCAACCTAGTGACAGAGGATGTGGAAAAAGCTAATGCACTCAATGCTTTTTTTGCCTCTGTCTTCACGAACAAGGTCAGCTCCCAGACTGCTGCACTGGGCAGCACAGTATGGGGAGGAGGTGACCAGCCCTCTGTGGAGAAAGAAGTGGTTTGGGACTATTTAGAAAAGCTGGACAAGCACAAATCCCTGGGGCCAGATGCACTGCATCCGAGGGTGCTAAAGGAGTTGACTGATGTGATTGCAGAGCCATTGGTCATTATCTTTGAAAACTCATGGCAATCGGGGGAAGTCCCGGATGACTGGAAAAAGGCTAATGTAGTGCCCATCTTTTAAAAAGGGAAGGAGGAGGATCTGGGGAACTACAGGCCAGTCAGCCTCACCTCAGTCCCTGGAAAAATCATGGAGCAGATCCTCAGGGAATCAATTCTGAAGCACTTAGAGGAGAGGAAAGTGATCAGGAACAGTCAGCATGGATTCACCAAGGGCAAGTCATGCCTGACTAACCTAATTGCCTTCTATGAGGAGATAACTGGCTCTGTGGATGAGGGGAAAGCAGTGGATGTGTTATTTGACTTTAGCAAAGCTTTTGATATGGTCTCCCACAGTATTCTTGCCGGCAAGTTAAAGAAGTATGGGCTGGATAAATGGACTATAAAGTGGATAGAAAGCTGGCTAGATCATCGGACTCAACGGGTAGTGATCAATGTCTAGTTGGCAGCCAGTTTTAAGCAGAGTGCCCCAAGGGTCAGTCCTGGGTTCGGTTTTGTTCAATATCTTCATTAATGATCTGGAGGATGGCGTGGACTGCACTCTCAGTAAGTTTGCAAGTGACACTAAACTGGGAGGAGTGGTAGATATGCTGGAGGGTAAGGATAGGATACAGAGGGACCTAGACAAATTAGAGGAATGGGCCAAAAGAAACCTGATGAGGTTCAACACAGACAAATGCAGAGTCCTGCACTTACGACGGAAGAATCCCATTCACTGTTACAGACTAGGGACCGAATGGCTAGGCAGCAGTTCTACAGAGAAGGACCTAGGGGTTACAGTGGACAAGAAGCTGGATATGAGTCAACAGTGTGCCCTTGTTGCCAAGAAGGCTAATGGCATTTTGGGCTGTATAAGTAGGGGCATTGCTAGCAGATTGAGGGATGTGATCATTCCCCTCTATTCAACATTGGTGAGGCCTCATCTGGAGTACTGTGTCCAGTTTTGGGCCCCACACTACAAGAAGGATGTGGAAAAATTGGAGAGAGTCCAGCAGAGGGCAACAAAAATGATTAGGGGGCTGGAGCACATGACTTATGAGGAGAGGCTGAGGGAACTGGGTTTGTTTAGTCTGTAGAAGAGAAGAATGAGGGGGGATTTGATAGCTGCTTTCAACTACCTGAAAGGGGGTTCCAAAGAGGATGGATCTAGACTGTTCTCAGTGGTACCAGATGACAGAACAAGGAGTAATGGTCTCAAGTTGCAGTGTGGGAGGTTTAGGTTGGATATTAGGAAAAACTTTTTCACTAGGAGGGTGGTGAAGCACTGGAATGGGTTACCCAGGGAGGTGGTGGAATCTCCTTCCTTAGAGGTTTTTAAGGTCAGGCTTGACAAAGCCCTGGCTGGGATGATTTAGTTGGGAATTGGTCCTTCTTTGAGCAGGGGGTTGGACTAGATGACCTCCTGAGGTCCCTTCCAACCATGAGATTCTATTATCATTCCTGTGCTCTGCTCTCTGCACTTTCTCTTCATTGAATAGAGTATAATACAAAGACTCTGTCTTGATATTCAGAGATCACCAAGTGATTGGCCTTAGCTATGTGGAAACCTATATATCCCTTTGCAACCATGACCTCTGTTGACAGCTACTCTAGATGTGAAATATGAAACTTGATCAGTAGGGGGAGATATGGAGTATTGGAGACAGAACTTTTGCTGATATGGGACCTAGGCTTCTGAACTCTCTCTCTCTGGAAATAAGAATGACCTTGGACCTCACTGAATTCTGAACTAAATACAAATTCTGTTTCTTTGACTGAGCTTTTTTTATTTCCCCCCCCTCCCCCCTCACAGACCACTCATGCATAGGAGCCATGAGTGAGTGGGAGGAGGAATTCTGCTACCTTTCAAGCTATTACAACAGATGTAGAAAAGAAAGAGGGGTGTTCTTACTATTTGTGAGTTGCTGATATAAGAGGGTGATGAAGGCCAAAAATTTAAAATACCTAGATATTGTGCAATATTGTTAAAAATATAATATCAGAACCAGATTCTGATATTAGCTACTCCAGTGTAAATCTGGAGAAATTCCACTGAATTCCATAGACTTACTCTACTTTAACACTGCTGTAACAGGGACCAAAATCTGATCTCATTGTGGGTATCTATAAATAGGAAGGAGTTTGAAAATCTTCTTTTAAGGATACTTGGATATAAATATACTAGCACACAATTCAATGGGTCTTGCAGGTACTCACCATTTCTCAAAATCAGGCCTTAAAACCCAGCCCCTTATTCTTGCTTAATAATAAGTTTCAACTATTCTGATCTTATTTGTGTTCTAAAACATACAATTTTTGATGTTGCCCTTATTATTTTTCAGGTTAACAAATACAAATATTATTCACAAAATGCCGGAATGGACCCTAATTGCTGTTGTGTTGTTATCAGCGTAAGTACTGCAATTATTCTAAATAATGGATATGACATTTATCAAGAGGTGACATAATTCTAAGGATTAGAAAAATTATATAAAATATAAGGGTGTTTTTCTTTAAATCTGATTAACTATGCTAGGCACTATACACAGGTTTATTCACATAAATTCAACAGTGTTTCTTTTGCCAGCAGTTTTGTAGCTGTCAGGTTTTCAATAACAATCATTTGAAAATTTACAGCTTGCTTAAAAAATACTAAATCGTACAGACCTCAGGTCAGTGTTGTGGCGATTTTTTAAGCAATACTTCTCTTTTCACTCAGCTCTTCAAAACATTCATTTTCTCTCTGATATATAGTACTTTACAGCAGAGGCTTTGTTATATTTTGATCCAGTTATCTGTTGTGTAACCTATAAAACTTAGCCTTTGTGTATTATAATAGATATTACATATTCAATAATAGACTTTTTTTGAAAAACTTTTAGAATGGAAGAAAACACAGTGGAAAATACTAAAGGATACTTTCTATTACATAGTAATTTTAGGGTGTTCTTGCCTTTCTTAAATAATTCATTTTTCTCTACAGCAGGAATTCATTTGTTTTTACTTGAAAATAGGCAGTACATTAAAAAAATTATATACCCAAATTACTTTTCAACACACTGTTGAATAAACTTGTGTTTTGAGATAGAAAAATTCTCATTTTGCAACCATAACTTATTCAGACACATTCGGACTGGGATATTTAATTAAACATCCCCAATCTGCATTTAAACATACTTAAACCATTTAAAATGTCTAGACTCCTACATCATTTTAGTTTGCATGAGGTGAGATCTGGTCTTCAGCAGTTTTTTTCTTAATCATAAGCCTGATTTTTACATACTTCTTTTCAACATAATTCTGAAGTCATAAACAACGCAAACTATAGTCAATACATCAAGTAACTTTCCCCATTTTTATTCTCCAAATTAGTGTACAGGTTTAAAGTTAAATAAAGGCAAAATGTAAAGGTTTCACTGTTCTAAAACAGGCAGTTCTTTTCACAAATTCATATTAAACATTTAACATTAGTTCACCTTTTAAGAAATCACTGGTGGTTTCACACAGTGTCAGACTCTGCCTTTCAGTAGGGTTAAAACCATCAAGCAATCTTTGTATGTCTTTCAGCTTGAATTACAAGATTGCAAAAATCTTATTGCAGAGACTGTTTATTACCGCACTGCTGCTTCTTCTTTTGGGCTTCCTGGGTCACTGGAGCCTGTAGGACAGAGAAGTACTTACCAGACATTCACAGGTCAAGAAGTGTTGTGGGCCAGCCTCATAGCGTCCCCGGTACTGCACTTACTTTCTTTGATATTACTTCAGTCTGACACATTGTTCTGGCTTTACTGTCCCAAGGAAGGCTATACCAGTAGGCATTAGAGTAGGCTTCAGCGAGCCCTACATCTGTGTCACCCAGCCAGATACTGCTCAAATGATTCATTAAATCAGAACACAGAAAGTAACTTTACTTGAATGCCTTGGTATAAATTTTTTATCAACTGTAAGAACAAATCTTTTGTCATTTTTACTATACACTCTTATGGTTGAATTGGTAATTTGTGAAACAGATCTTATGAATTTTTCAGGCAGTTTCTTTACATTCAGTGAAATGACTATTTTGTTCACAAGTAAAATGTGTGTCTTTGGTCATCTGCTACACATAGTATTAATAATGAGCTATAAATGTTTGCAAACCTAATTGCAGTTTTACAGTTGCTTTAAAATGTAGCCAAGCAAAAGATGCAGTAGCGGGCAGTCTTTTCTACAAAGCCACAGGCTCAGAATAGGAGCTGTCTTACTTCTGCTTTCTAAGGGCCCAGTCCTGAGAAAAAGGCTTCAGAATTGGGCCATAAAATAGTGGAGACTAGAGAATATTCTTAATCTTATTCCAGTGAAAGCAAGAAAACTTCCATTGGCTTCAGTGGAATCCAGAATGGGCACCACGTTTGTTACAGAAGTGATGGTCTTTGGTTTCTAAACAATAGCCCAATTACCTCCTCCTGTGGAGACAGGAGTGCAGAGAGGGAAGGAAAACTTGAGGGTTCCCTTGAAGAATTTCCTCCCACTTCCTCTATCTGGAGAGAGAGTATTGATTCACTTCTGGAAAGTAAAGGGAGTTCAGCCTTCAGAACCATGGCTTAGTGGAGGCCAGGAACATCCAGATGGAGGTCCTATACATCTGCTCCTTAGCTCCTAACCCGGCTCCCTGGTAGTGCTGTTTCTCAGGCTGCTCCTGCTCCTGAAGAGGAATTCCATGGCATGGAGGGGCTCCACAGAAAAGCTTTAGGCTGGATTAACTCTCCTGAAGGTTCCATGGGGTCTAGAGGGGGATGATGCTTGTCAACAGCAGACTGATGGTCACCATGGACCCCCACAAAGAGCTTTCTGTGGGGTCTGGGTCAAAAGATGTTTGAAACCACTTTCACTTGCCGCTTTGACAGAGGGAGATAAGGAGGGCCTCTTCCGCATGTGCAAGTATCAACAGGGCATGATCTGGCCCCAGGGATGGGTGGTGGCTGTGTTATTCCTAGAGCCAAACAATGGGGTAGCGTAAGCAACAACTTGAAAAGAAGCTAATTGCACATCTCCCCAGCTTGGCTGAAAGGTGATATGATGGAAGCGCCTAATGTACAAATAACCTGGGGGATCAGAGGTGAAAAGAACATGGGCTAGAATGAAGGAGTGAGCAATGCGATTTAAGGGCTACACATCATAATAATCCACCTGTTTCATTTTCCAATTCAAGGAGACATGACAAACAAGTAGCCTCTCTCTGATTTGAGGACCTAAGGTGTTTTGTTTTTTAAAAAGGTAGCAACTGTGTCAGACTTCGCTTGCACCCCTCTTCTTAGGCACAGATACCGTGACTCATCACTTTCTTGTCACATATGGGTGTTATGTGCTGGAGAATGATATTGAGAAAACTTCCCAGTGCATTTTCATAGTACCCTGGATACTTTTGTGTCTGTGAACTCCCTGCTTTGCTGCTCGCCAAGGTTACTATTACCATTAGTGATGTCTCAAATTTAGCAGGATGTGATTACTGCTTAATAGTTTGTATTACCATGGCACAAAATTTTCCTTCATTTCCTTAGCAAGGTGTGTGTGTAATACATAGGTTTTCTTTATGTATAAAATATAGGCTATTAAGGTAGTAGAGCTACCTGTCCAGAGAACATCCAGATTAACACAGTCCAAATGATCATGATATCAAAAATTAATGTCCAATCTGAGCCCTTAATGAAAATCTAACCTGAGGCATTTCTATCTATCTGTTCAATATATTCTCATTTGCCATATTATATACTGTGCTTTCCTAGACTGCCCTTTGACATCCAGTGAAGAGGCTTACCCAAATATTACTGAATACTGCACCAAAGCCTGGCATGGAGCGGGAACAACTTTAAAATGATGCACAGACCAAATGCTTTATTCGCTTGCTAATTAGTTTTGTAAGTTCAGTGGTGGTGGTTTGCAGACACTCCTTTTAGGAATGTTTAGAGTTTACATTTGATATTATAGTAATATCTGTGATATAATGCAGTATAAAACAAAGTACTGGAAGATATAGCTTTCCCCCAAAGATCTTTGCTTGATATCAAATGAAGCAGATAAATTTATATATACACAGTATTTAAAGAAAGAGGAAATCGGAAGGTAGGGAAGATTGTATACCCCTGATACGGTCTAATGGAAAAGCTTTCAAGATATTCACAAGAAATGTCTGCTTTCATTTTATTTATCTGAACTGGCTGGTTCCAGTGAACTGTGGTCAGTTTCATCTGCAAAGTCCATGCAACAGTTTTTACCTCTAAAAGCTTGAGAGCATTTCAAAACGTCCTGGGATTAGTGGGTAAGCATTAGGATTCAGTATTTAAACAAACTCAAAACGACCATGATCACTAAACAAAAGCCTACGTTAGACATGTGCAGCCACTTTAGGTAAATGTGTCATGTGGAGATGTACTCTAGAGGTTTAGTCTCAGGGATGACAATGCAGGGACTGAAGAATCTGGATACAAGTGATTGTTTTTAGTTCACAGACAATATTTATAGCATACCTATTGCTCGAAAGAAAAGGCATAAAGAAATCTCTCTAAATTGTTTCAAGAGGAATTTGCCTTTTCAGAAATTTCTGTTGCATGTGTTTATGCTAAATGTTGCATTCTTGATATGTGAGAATTAAATAGACCTATACTGATTGTAAAAATATATTGGATGTGAGTTTACTCTGCAAAGTAACAATGTGAAAATGTCACTCTTACTTCACAGATCTGCTTCCTTTCTGTCATGTCTGTATAGTCAGTTATGTCTATTTAGTTTAATAACTAAAATAAGCTTTTATTCCTGTTACCCTAACAGAGACAACACATCTCAGAGCGAGTCAGGTGGATGCTATTTTGGCTAACAATTCTATTGATAGGTATTGAGCCAAATTTCAGCTGGAAAATCTTTCTTTATTACACATAGAACTCAAGCTGAATATTTTTCTAATCCCAAAATGAGTTTGCAGCACCAGCAGTTAGAAAAATCTTCATTTTTACTTGTAAAATTAACCCATATGGTCTGGAGCAGTGATACTCAAACTTAGGCTTGGGAGCTCAAGTGGCTCTTTAATGCATCTTTGCAGCACATGATATTAAAACACTCTGTGATTTAGTTACCAACCAGTCAGGATGCTTTTACTGTGTTATTACCAATTGTAGAATACTTGGTCAGTCATTTTGCTGTGAGAATGGTAGGTAGATAGATAGTAAATGAAACAATGAATTCATGCTTCTGTGGCTCTTTTGGGTAATGTTGATCGCTAATTTGGCTCATGAATCACTGAGGTCTGAGTATCACTGATCTGGAGTTCATGACAGTTATGGATCCACAGTGCCATCTTTACAGAGTTATTTTTTGAGTCACATTCCACTTTATAATTTAAAATGCAAAGAATCCAACTTTCACCCAAGTTACACTAAGC